GAGGGAGGTGAAGGTTCTCCTGCACTGAGCACCGGGACAGGAAGTCCCGCCTCGTCACCTAGGCAGGAGTGTCAGTCACAGAGCAGCTGTGCACTTGGCCTTGGGGTGCGAGGCTTTGACCTATAGATGGAGACCCACAGCCCAATGAGGGAGCACACGAGCCCGGCCCCTGCTATCTGATCCTCTCTCTCCAGCATTCTCACGTTCACACAGGGCTGGGGGAGGGGGTTAATGGTTTAAAAATATGGACTGGCAGCTTTCTAAAAGGCGAAGGGAAAACAGGAGAAGGCGAGGAATAGGAGAAGAGGAAGAGAAGGAAAAAGGAAGAGAAATATCTGAGCTCCCACTCCCACGTGGCTTCTTCTTGACGAACAGATGTATGTTGGGGCGACTTGGTGGCTGTAACTCCAGAAACCCAATGAAGGGCAGTGTCGGCCACAGCCAGGTGGCGCTGTGATGACCCAGGAAAGTGCGGGCATCTGGCCGGGAGCCTGCAGAGGGGAACCTCACACACCTGGGGGGCCCTGGAGTTGGGCTTCTCTGACCATGGCGACGGCCATCACTGGGCTTGTTCCGTGGGGACTGTGGAAGCCATGCCCACACCAATGTCACCAGGGGCCTGGGCTCCTATTTCAGACACGGACCGTCTCAGAGGGCAGGAGGGCCTGGCCGGTGCGGCTCAGCTGGATGGAGCATCGGCCCTACACCAAACGGTGGTGGGTTTGATTTCCATATGGGAGGCAACCGATCAATGTTTCTCTCTTTCTCTCTCTCTCTCTCTCTCTCTCTCTCTCTCTCTCTCTAATAAAAACATATCCTCAGGTGAGAGTTTTTTAAATACATATATTTTTAAAAAGGCAGGAGGCTCCACACTCAGCGATGTGAGTCTCAATTCTCTGCTCTTAACCTGTCACCTGGGAAATGCGAGACAACAGTAATAACGAGTCTTTGACCACCTTTGGGCTCTCAGGCCTCCTGCTGGGGAGCAGGGCTGGCACTGCCCTGTGGGCTGCCCCGTGTCCTGTCTGCAAGGCGGCCCGGTGCCAAGGTGACCTCGTACCGTGATCATGTCAGTGTGATGGTCCAGCTGAGCCTGCGATGACCATGGGCACCACCAGCTGCTCCCAGGTCCCCCCGAGTCCTCTCTGCTCCCTATCACCTTGCGCGTGGCCCACCTGGTTCAGCCTCAGCGAGGCCCTGAAAGTGTGAGAGTCCGTCCCGGTTTGGGTTCGGGTCATTCATTCTGAGATTAACTCGGCAGGTCACCTGTCAGGGGAACTTCTCAATATGTATGAGCTTCAGAGGGAGAAATCTCACTCACCTACAAGGGTCTAACATATGTCTGTGTTTTAAAACATTATATATTTTTTTTATTGATTTCAGAAAGGAAGGGAGGGAGAATAGAAACACTGTGAGAGAGAATCATTGATCGGCTGCCTCCTGCGGGAAATAGAAACATTGTGAGAGAACCATTGATCGGCTGCCTCCTGCACGCCCCCCACTGGGGACCGAGCCCACAACCAGGGCATGTGCCCTGACCGGGAATTGAACCGTGACCTCCTGGTTCATAGGTTGACACTCAACCACTGAGCCATGCCGGCCGGGCCGTATTTCTGTTCTGATCGCCTCCTGGTTCTTTCTTTTGCCTTCCACATCTAAGGGGAACTAACAAACAAGCCAACCGAGATCTCAACAGCAATTTCTGACTAAACTCAGGTAATTATGTTTTAACAATTAATTGGAAACATATTTAGCTGTCTGTGTTAGGACAGTTCCTTTGCCGATATGTAAGGAAATAACACGTTCAAAATAGCTGGGCTTTATCCCCAGGGAGCCAACGTAGCCGTCAGGACTCTGCCTGCGTCTTACATAACATCGGTGTGGGCGTTGTGCTTTATCTGGTTACGGCTGTCACTGGGCTGGAGAAAGCCAGCCATTAGCACGGCATCCGTCACTCTGTGTTCCCGGGAACTCCACCGGGGAGAGCAATCGCCTGCTCTGGTTTGGGGGAGCCCGAGGTACAGGTGCCAACAGCCTTTCCTCCTGCCACCCCCGGTCGACAGCACCCCGGCACCTGAAAGGAGCAGCGTTGCTGGTGGGCAGGGAGCCCACGGCTTCCGGCAGGGCGGTCCATTATTAATGGAGACAGTCACAGGGTGGTTATGTAGGGATGTCAGACCTTCCAACGCCCAGGGCGCCCGGGGACGTGGCTGACAGGTGCTGGGGGCAGACTGCGGGTGGCCTCATTAGTCGCTCCCAGGGCCAGCTCCACAGTGATGAAGAGGCAACCGCTCCCAGGGCCGGGCGTCAGTGGCATCCCAGGGTCAGCACCCTGAACGCGTCCCAATTTATTTATTTATTTTTTTGCAAGACATAGGGTGTGGCTGGCACATCCATCCTACCAGCCCGTGGACGGACACTCACAGCTTTCATATTCCCCACACTCACCGCCCACAAAAGCCACTCCCTCCTCCACGAATTGAACCCGATTGTTTCTGGCTTCTGATAAGACAAGCGGGGGGAGGGGAGGCAGGTGTTGGGCTGTTGGGTCAAAGTGTCCAGAAGAGCCCTTTCCATGCTTGTGCCTCCTTTGAAAGATACGACCTCATCCACAGCAAAGGTGGACAGAACCTAGAGACAGAACCTAGCGAGAGAACCTGGCTGAAGAACCTAGAGACAGAACCTGGCTACAGAACCTGGATAGAACATGGCAAGAGAACCTGACTAGAACCTGGACAGAACCTGGCTGGAGAACCTGGAGAACCTGGCTGGGGTGACGGAGGATGAGTTTAGTCCTACCCAGCACTCAGGCTCGGCTCTTGCGCCGTCTGCGAAGCCGGGACATCGCAAGGCGACTCCTGTTAACTGCATTTCTGCTGCTAAAAGACGGCTGCCGGGCACATGGATTTTGTGGAGACGCACACGAGGTGCCCCCGTGGGGAGCAGATCTGGCAGGGCGCCCGCTACACAATATAACACGCCCGGTTTCAGATCGCGGCCAATGGTGGCCCGGCGCCTGGCCACCCTCTGCTTCTCCGGTTGATGTTCGGTGACAAGCGCCACATCCGTCCCGCCGAGACGAGCGCGGGGATGAAAACAGAAGCTCCGTCAGCTGGAACGTAAGTTTCCTAACCCGAAAACGAGCGAGCCCTCGCAGCGTGGCGTACCCACTCTCCCAGGCAGGTTTCTGACCTGCTGCAGCGCCGCTGGGGACGTGGAGGTTTCTCCATCCCCCACAGAACGTCACTGCCAAGTGCAGGCCAAGTGCACGCCAAGTGCACAGCACTGCACACCGGCCCCAGCAGCGCGGCGAGGACCCGCCCGGAGACGCAGGACTGACGCCGGCCTGCCCGCTCACTGCCCACCCAGGCATTTGCCCTGACAACCCCTCCGGGCAGGGAGCGAGGCCGCTGCGTTAGGCCGGATGCCCAGAGTGATCTGCAAATGGGAGACCAGTAATGGCACAGCCCTGTGGTGTGCAGGAGGCCCTCGGTCCACGCGCGGCAGACACTCCTCCATGCAGTGCAGATGCTTTTTGCCCCAAACGCCGGGACGAGCATGCTTTTTCGGAGAAGGAGGTAACGGACAGCAGAGAAGCACGTCCTAAAATGTGAGCTGGGAGCAACCTTGGAGGCCTCTAAGCCCCACCATACGCTGGGACTTTTAAACATTTTGTTTTAGAAATTTTCCAACATATCCCAATGACAACACTTGAGAGAGTGGTACGATGCCTTCCGCTTCATCCATTACCCGCCCTGATAGAGTCGGACTTGTCTCTTACCGCCTGCAGCTGTGGGGGTCATTTAGCAGGAAACGGAAGTATCTCCCTTCCGTTGGTGATTACTTTATTTCATAACTTTGTTCGTAATCGTGAATATGAGGAGGATTGGAGCTGGTACTCTTTTTGGCCTTTGGGGTTATCTGTACTTTTAAATCCCCCAGTGCCCCACTTAACATACATATCCCCAAATGGCAGTTCATGAGTTGTTGGGGCGATTCATCTTCACTTAGGCAAGGCCTCAGGGGTTTGTCTCCTATAAAACAGAGATACGTACGGGATCACCAGGTTGGGTAAGAATTAAATTGGTTAATTCACGTAAAGCATTTAAAACAGTGCCTGACACGCGTGATCCCCGAGGCAAGCGTTGTGTTCACGGGTGGGTCGCTTCCCCGTGTGCTGCCTGCCGGGTCCCGGGGCCGGGTTAGACTCGTTCCGTGGGTGAGCCGCGGCTTCTCCTCACGTCTCGGCCCTGGCGCCGGCGATGAGGCGAGGCCTCTCCTTGGACAGTTCAAAGGATTTCTTACAAATTCCATGGCACCTGGAGGAAGTCACTCTTGACGACTCCCAGCTCCTTCCACGATAACCGGTCTATTCCGGTTTCTGCATTTCCGGGCTCAGTGTTGCACATTTCAGCGGATGGCTCATTTTGTCCAGATGTTCCAGTGATCGGAGCGGCAGGCAGTTTTCTCTTACGACTTTAAATCTCATGTGAGAGCGATGTGCTCTTTTCAGTTCTCATTCCCTGCATTTGTAACTCTCTTGTTTGCCCTCGACTGGATTCGGAGCGGACTGTGCTTGCCTTTCTCCTCTCGGAAAGCTCTCGGTGTCTCCGGTGTGCCCGCCTGTGGCGTGTTGTTACAGCAGCCGGAATGGACGCGGACAGTCTCCGGTCACCATTTCCCAATCCCACCCACCTGTGCTCCAATTAGGGGTCATTCTTCAAGCGGGTTTTTGATGGCTGTCCTCTGGTTAGATCTTTGCTTCTTTCTTAAACCCATGTAATGTGGCCCTCCACCCTCTCCATCTCCCACCTCACAATTTCTAATTTCTGTTCAGAAAAACACCTGCCTCTTTAAGAAGGCGTGGACAGCATTCCACCTGGGCCCAGAGGAGCTCTGGGGTTCCCTACAGATGACACTGTCCCCCCAGCTGGTGCTGGGATGGGGACCGCCAGCCAGAACAGAGCGACGTGCGGCAGGCACCGGACGGCACTACTCACCTCCGGAGTGGGCGGGCGGCCCGCACAGCAGCACCATGCCCTGGCCCTGGCGGACAGACACTGTGCTCCTGGCTCTCGTCTGAAAGTTCTCGAGATCTGGGGGGAGAAAGAGAAGACAGGGTTTCACACGGAGTCCCAGATGCCAGGGGGGCGGCCAGGCTTCCGAGGGGAAGGCCTGCCGAAACCCAGCCTCGGGCACCTGCACGGGGGGGATCGGTGAGCCTCTCCTCACGGACGCTGTCCTGTCCCCCGATTCCACGTCCACACCGCAGGGCAGCCCCTCATCACAGGGGCCCAGTTAGATGCAAAGCACGTAACATGAAATGAGAACTTTAAAATATATATATTTTTATTGATTTCAGAGGAGAAAGAAAGATCAATGATGAGAGAGAATCATGATCGGCTGCCTCCTGCACGCCCCCTACTGGGGATCGAGCCTGCAACCTGGGCCTGTGCCCTGACCAGGAATGTTCATAAGGCGACACTGGACCGCTGAGCCACCCGGCCGGGCTCCTTGTGGATTCTGGATGTGCATGAGGTGCTGTCCAAGGCTCCGTGTGAGAGGACGCTCCCTCTCTCAGGGAGGCCACGTCTGGTGGAGAGAGAAGGTACTACTATAAGCCCCCAAATCGCAGTTGGAGTCACTCAATGACCAGTTGCCACTAAAAATGAGTTAATGTAAGAAATATGATGAAGTAACATTATTGTTTAATAAATGGTTTTTATTCCATCCGCTTAAATGTAAATTGTCTCAAGGAGTGTTGAAGTGCCTTTCGTTTTTGTTGTCTGAGCTACTTGATGCAATGCCCTCCTCTCAGATTTGAGGTGGGTTCCCAGCCAGGTGTATCCCGGGGAGGGGGTGTGGCGGGACAGTGACACTGTTTCCGCCACGCTGGCCTTTTGGGGGGACATTTCAGGAAGATGACCTCCAGCGAGCGACCCTAACCACAGTGACCTGAATTAGGTCTGATTAATGTCCCCATTTGACAGGCTAGAAGAGCGGGGTCCCAGGGCACCTATTAGAGGCTGTGTGGTGAGTGATGGAGTGGACACAGGCACGGCAGCTACACAGGGGGCGCCTCCACACACGGGCTGGGCACAGGGGCAGTTCAGGATATTAAAAGATCTACACACACAGGCTTCATCACTGCTTCTTTCGGATTTCAGCACGTTTTAAGGTCAGAGATTATTGTTTTCATGACCAAAGTATTTATAAGAATCTCACTGAACATCGTCTGGTTGCCGCAGGGACTCAGCAGTTTGGTGGCAGGACTGACAGGTACCACCTCATCCCAGGAGCCGGGAGACCCTGAGAGCTGAGGACATGCCCATTCTCAGTGCAAAGCCAAACAGGGCTGTCATCGGAATTCCACCTACTTTTTAGTCAATGAGCACCAGAGGGGGCAGGACATGAGCTTTTTTCTTCTTTAAGGAAACAGTTTCAGAAGG